AACAGAAAACCAAACTCAAAAGGGTTATAAATTTTCCAACGGAAAACATTTGAACCAAAGACAAGTCGGAATCCAACTAGATAGGCTAAGAAATATTGTTCGGATAGTGTGTTTGGACAGCCAATTATTTGGCCAAATATATTTGCTGACATCACCATTACAATTTCCAATACACCTTTTTATCTTCCCAATTACCTTTTTATCTCACATACATCACATCACAAAAAGTGCTACAGTAAAAATATTTCAAATAACTTACAATCCAAACATGTGGTTCAAAATCAACTAATATTCAAGTAGATATTATAGACTAAATATCTTGATGAAAATCATGTGAAAAGAGGACAGAATACCTTACTTTCACACTTTAAACCTTACTTGAAAGTAGTTCACTTGTGGCCGAGAAAACCCTAATTCATACATCGATATTTTGGTAAAGAGTAAGTAACCATTTGAAATTTGAAACTAAAGAGATAGCATGTTTTAAAATTTAGAACGGTCATGATATTTGCCAAACTCATATATGTATGTTCAAATAGAACTTAGCCCTCAAACACTTCTCGACGAATCGATGAAATTGTTAATGAAATACGTTCAACTTGACACAAAATACATTTCCAAAACCATTTTAACTCATTCTCATGACAAGAAAAGAAACGGACAGCATTTCCCTAATTTCTTCACTTTCACCCTACAATTAAAACTCATTCTCACACCATTAATTACAATCACACATATGGTCCATAGTAATACAACATGTCCAGTTAGGGCACAAAACTCTTCAATCAAAGCTAATTAGAAGCTCCAAAGCCAACTATAAGAAAATCCCCAAATTAAACCCTAAAACCGGAAATTCACACCACAAGCGGAAAATTTCCGCAAACAATCGCAATTTCCGTACACAAGCTTCAATTAACACCATTTTAATCCATCAATCCAAGACCAATTCATGACTTTCATATAAAATCAGAAAATTCCCCAACAAATCAGAAAAGGGTCCAACTTGTCCTAAACCATGAAATCATCCACCGATATAGCATTTCTAACCTTTACAAGCCATTAATTAACCAATATTAGAACCAAAAGAGAGTTTCTTAACAACTCACCTTATGAGCTCAAGAAAGGTAGAGACTTAGGGCTTCTCTTCCAAAAATAACTCCACTATCACCTTTAACCCTCCTTAGCTAGCGCTTGTACGGAGTAGTTTGAAAATTCAACGGTGAAATCCCAAGTTATGAGTGAAAATTGAAACTAGAAATTGAAGAGTTTTTCTTTCTTCTCTCAAAGCCACGGCTGAACAAGGGAGCAAATGAAGATATTTTGGCCCTTAAAACAGTTTAACAATAGAAGGAAACAGGCGGTCAAAGTTGATGGCCGCCTGTGCCACGTCACAATCCGGCCAGAATTTGGCCGGATTCTTGGTCGGATTCAAGGCAGTAGCAAAATCAATTTTTTTCAAAACCCACAACAATCCGGCCATCAATCCGGCCAAGAACTGGCCGGATTTGCGGCCGGATTCGGCCCTTCAGTCTTTTTGCAAAATTTTTCCTCTTTTCCGAGTTCGATTGTCGCGCTCAACCGCACTTCCAACACACACATATACACATATCTCATACACAACTACACGAAATAACAAAACTTCCTTTGTTTAGAACAATTGGTTAACAAGTTTTCACTAAAAGGGGAAGTGAGAATAAACCAAAAGTTTAAGAACATGTGAAAGGTTTAGGGTTCTCACAATTTGCTACAAAAACTATTGCATTATACCAAAGATGTCCCAAAGTTCTTCCATTGAATTGCAATATCTCTTTAATTACTTGAGATTTGGGAACATTTAGGAGATTCCTTAAAAAATATCTAGGAAACTATGTAGGGTTTTTCAACCCATTTTAGTTGAAAAACATTATATCTTGGTGACTCTAATTCGAGGATTTTGAATATTTGTTTCCTAAAATATCATAGATAAAAATTAGAATGTTCATAGATTTCCTCAATGGTATGTAACAAAAGGAATATGGTTTTGATGTCTTTTTAACCGTTGAAAATATCATCATACTTTTTTAGGTTAAAAATGGCTCGCAATGGGTTTTTATGACCAAAATCATACATACCTTGTATATATGTCAGACACATTGTATCATCTCCAAATTAAAGGTTAGGAAATTAATAAATGAAAAATATAGGGTATTATTTGCACAATTTCTTCAATCATCATTAGTCTTCTTATCCTTCTCTAAATACAATTATACTTTTCCTTCCATTAGAACTAACTATTCACCTGCGCATTTTCACGGAAGCTTATTTATCTTCAAAAGAAGGTTTATTCTTAAATGGATATCAAGAAAACACTAAAGTAATATATATTTAAAATTTAAAATACTATATATACGACAAAACCAAAACAAAATAGAATCACATATTAGCTTTTAATAAATCCATCTGATAGGTGTAAAGTAATGTAGCAAAAAAAAAATTAGGAAATCTATCAACATGTGATTGCATTTTAAAAAAGAAATGATAAGAGAAGAATTCAGTAACCAAAAATCTATAATTTGAAAGAGAACCAAAAACTATCCAAATTAAAGCCATGTGCACATGATTATAGAGATAGTTAAAGGATTTTGTAGTTCTTAATTACAAGGAAAAAATGTTTTTTTCATAATTTCTTGAATTGGAGAATTACTGATATTGTTGATAATGTGATTGATTTATAATTGACTTATTATAAGGAAAAAGGTATATTTCTTTTAGCTTTCTTTTATTGGAAAATAGACAGCCTTAAATTTTGTTAGGGATCGATTACAGAAAAATAAAAAAAGAGACAAAATTTCAAAATTTGTATGTGAAAGGACAAGTAATAGAATGTAACTGCACTTAAAATTTGATGTGTGTAAAGAACAAATAAAATTTAAAACTAAATAAAGGAATTTTCACTACTCAAATAAAAAAAATAAAAAGGAAACTAATTGCCAATCCATTTTCAGGCTTATTGAGAGTGAAAATTAGGGCAGCAATTTATAATTGGGTTATTATCACTTTACCCCCTTAAATTATCAGTTGATCCCCTTACGTTATCTTTGAGTCACTTTACGCCTATAAGTAATTAAACTCAACATGTTAAGAAATTTTGAACAAAAATATCCTTTTATTTTATAGCATTACTACATTGTTATTATCACTTTATTCGTTTGGATTATAGTGATACAAACACTTTAGTTCCTAACATTATTTTCTAGACATTTTACTTCATCATTAATCTAATTAGTATAGTCAAAAAAATTTAAATATATTTACCTTTTTTTATATATAATTAAAAATGAAAAAGTCGGAATGCTTATTCTTCCTTTTTTTTTCACTTTAAAAGATCGAAAAATAGAAAAATAAAAGGGTTTTCTCAAATTTCCTTTTTTCACACTTATTTATACTAGAAAAAGAAAAAGAGATAGGAAAAAAGGAGACAAAAAATTAGATTTTACCGGAAAAAAAGTCTAACATTATCGTATTGCTTTAAGGTTGTCGGGATTAGAATTGGAATTTGGTAGTAAACAAAAAAATGAAATAATTTTAAAATAATAAAATTATTTTATTCTTTCTTATTTGTAATTTTTAAAAAAAGAAATGAGCTCTCTCTCTCTCTTTCTCCCTCCCCCTCCCCTCTCCATCTTTCTATTTTTTTTCAATATTAATAAGATTGCCAAGAAGAAAGAAATTAATACTTTGACTTTTTTTCTTGATACTAAAAAGGAGAAAAGTCATTCCAAATTTTTTATTTTTTTTATTATGCAAAGAGGAGGGTATTTTCTTCTAAAATTTTTTAACTTGTTAAATTGATTTAATAATATGATAAAGTGCCTACAAAATAACTTTAATGGGTAAATTGATAATGAAGCTATATTTTATGGGAGTAAAGTGATAATAATTTTAAGAGTTAAACATGTCTTTTCACTTTAATTAACAAACTCCGTTAAATTTGATCGTTAGTCTTGGGAGTAAAGTGACTAAAAGATAACGTTAAAGGGAAATTGATAATAGCATCAAACGGTAAGGGGGTAGAGTGATAATAACCCTTTATAATTTGTTTAAAAGGTTTAATAATGAAAAGAGAACTTGTTCAAATCAGTACTTATGTGAAAGAAATTAATACTTTGACTTTTTTTCTTGATACTAAAAAGGAAAAAAGTCATTCCAAATTTTTTATTACGCAAAGAGGAGGGTATTTTCTTCTAAAGTTTTTTAACTTGTTAAATTGATTTAATGGTAGGATAAAGTGCCTACAAATAACTCTAATGGGTAAATTGATAATGAAGCTATATTTTATGGGAGTAAAGTGATAATAATTTTAAGAGTTAAACATGTCTTTTCACTTTAATTAACAAACTCCGTTAAATTTGATCATTAGTCTTGGGAGTAAAGTGACTAAAAGATAACGTTAAAGAGAAATTGATAATAGCATCAAACGGTAAGGGGTAAAGTGATAATAACCCTTTATAATTTGTTTAAAAGGTTTAATAATGAAAAGAGAACTTGTTCAAATCAGTACTTATGTGAACAAAACTTTTGCCTATAACAAGATGCAAAAACAACAGATTTCAACTCACCATTTGCAAGTAACAAACAAACATAATTTCAGCTAACCATTATCCTAAAAAATCTTAACAAACTTCTACTAGTAAATCTTAACTAAATCTTCTACTAGCAAAATCTTAACTAAATTATTTGTTAATAAATCAACATCATATCTAGTTAACACATATTATAACAACAACAACAACAAAAGTAACAAGAAGATTTATTTACCTAATAACTAAATTACCCTAATATAAAAAATAATCTACTATATAAAAGATAATTTAAAAACATGTGTAGAAAAGTTAGCATATCTAAAAAAACAAAAAACTTAAATTAGCATATCTCAAAAAAAAAAAAATTAAAGTTGATATATCTCAACAATAAATTTGTGCCTAGTCTCTCATAGGGTTTGAAAATGTTAACTTCCCCTTCTTGCCCCTAGCTCTTGAGTTTTTTTTGGCTCTCATCTTGTCAATTCATCAATGAGATTCTTGGTGAAATTTGAAACAAGGTTTATATCTTTTCTTGGGGAAACAAACATTCTCAAATCAAAAATTGCAAGGAGAAAAACCAACTTTTCTGTGAGTTTAGTGTGTTGATAAAAGTTGAGCTTCCATTTGGGAGAGTTTGTGTTTTTGATCCATCCAAGCAAAGGAGATCAGTAAAGCCCTTTGAGTTCTGTGAAGGTTAGTTTTGTTTTATTTATGGGTTCTCAATTAAATTTTGGCATGTTTTTAGATGAATTTTGGTTTCTGGGTTCTGGGTTTTTTTGGTTTTAGGATAAAATGGAAAAATTTTAACAATTTGTCAGCCTAATTCTATGTTTTAACAGATTAGCAAAACCTTGAGTCCTGTGGAGTTTAGTTTTTTTTCCTTGCTTTATTTATACGTTCTTGAATTAAGTTTTGGCATGTTTTTAGATGAAATTTGGTTTCTGAGTTCTGGGTTTTGTTTGGTTTTTGGGGAAATATTGAAAAATTTTAAAATTTTCATTCTAATTCTGATTTTTGAAGGTTTTGGCCCCCCTTCATAACAATGTGGCTCCGCCATTGAGTCTTCACTCTGAGCCTTTCTAGAGCTTCATTGAATGTGCTTGTAGTTGTTTTCTTTCTGAGGAAGTCTTTGGCTAGTAATATTGGTGCAGTTCCACCTAGTCCTGACACAAATCGAGATGAGGTTGTCTTGCCTCAATGAAAAGAAATTTCTTGTGCTTTGGTGGGGTCGCATGTGGTGATTGCAGTATATGTCAAGACTGTTGATATGTGTAGATTGCTTAATTGGTTTTTAGGTTTGGATTTAGTTAAATTTTCCTTAAGCATTTGGTCTGATAGGCTTCATGAAGTTGCTGGGCAATTGCCTTGCCTAGTTCTTTGCAGAAATGGATTCATTTGTTTGGCTTCACTACTTGACACTTTGCACTTCACTGAATTATTTTTTCAGTGACTTAGGTATTATTTTTATTGTCTTGATTGTGATTTTGTATGTCTACTCTTGTCAATTGAAGAGTCTTATCATCAAATTTCTGGATGTCGAGCTTAATATTAGTATTTAGGTGAAGTAGGAGATCCATTTTGAAAGATATGGAACCTATGTGTGGTGATGCTTGAATGATCATATTTTTATACCTTGATATTGAATATACATATACTTACAATATCATTGTTGGTCTACATAACAAAAACATTGATATCTGTTTAGTGTAAGTTTTCCCGAGGTTACTTAGGCTGTGGATCATTTTCGATCGCTTTCTGAAATTGGGAGCTTAGAATGCTGCTTAGATGGAAACTGAAACACTAGAAGTAGGCTTCTTTGGGATACTGAGAAAGAGCAGAGTTCAATACATTGGAAAGTTACTTTGGTTAATGTTAAGAAAACAAGTTTTTTCCCCCTTCTTATTCCTACAATTTATGTGAAACAATGTAGTGAAGCAACAAATAAGATATAAATAGTCATTTGCACGAGTTAGTTTCCGACCTCAGAGTGCCAAAAGTAGCAATAAAATTGGCAGTTATTCATGTTTCAGGTTGTCTGATCAATCCCAAATTTGCGGGTGTCTAGCGATTTATGGTAATACATTGATGCAAACAAATCCATATATATATATGTGTGTGTGTGTGTGCGCCATGCTGCGGGTTCAGATTTGGATAAGTTAAACCAATATATATGTGCCAGTGCTTGTCTTTGCATGAATTTTAAGTTAATGAGTGAGAATTTTATGATCAGTTTCCTTCTTCTTTTGGAAATCTTTACTACTTGCTAGTTTCTCAATAGATACATGACTTTTATGTTTACCTCATGCTTTTATACAACAATCCATTTAATTACCCTCCTAAACATTTACGTACGCCTAATGAAACACAATTACATTCGAATATTGTTTCTTATTTAAGTGAAATAAATTTTTATTAAAATAAAGCAAGGAAGTTTACATAAACAAGGCACGAAACAACAGCAAAATCAAACTCACGCTAAAACGCAAAATTACACTGAAAGAAAACTAGGCAGTAGAAAAGATAATAATATTAAACTTCCAATCCAATTCTAGCTCCCAATTAATTTGAGTGCATGGATGTTTCTCCATCCAGCCTCCGTTCCACAAACCACTTCCACAGTACAATTAATCGAAACTTCAGCTGGCCTAGATTTACACTTGAACTGCCTGAAATTTCTCTCCTGCCACAAAGTATAAACTGCATCAGCAAATGCCATCTTTCTAACAAGGTTCAAAAAGGTATTCTGTTGGAAATGGGCAGCCAACCATTGTACCTCATCTTTCCAACAAATATACCCCTAAAATAACAGATATTTACTCTGGATTTGGGACCAGGCGTTAGGCCAAATAGACACATTCAAAAAATAAATAATCTATAGTTTCCAGTTCAGAGCAACATAAATTACATAAATGATATATTATTGAATGTGATGCTTGCCGTTTTTGAGTCTTGCTGCAACCCTTTTAGCATTCAATTTTGTTAATTGTCTTTCTTTGGAACTTTTCAATTTTCAGAATTATATCAAAACATTCTGATTAATTGTGGTGATCAGAATATTCCAGGCAGCAGGTGTAAAAGTAATTGATTTGGAGCAGAAGATCAATGCGAGAAGAGTGTGTTGATTTAGTCCCTCAAACATTCAGGCTCCATTGTGTAGGGAAAGAATCTGAAGAAAACAAAAATTCAAGTGCTTTAAGTGCTGGAAATTCTGGCACAAGTGCTGTGGATGAAGAACAATCATTAGTTGATGACTCAAGCCTTTGTTCAACATCACCAATAGGTTCGGCGCCACTTTGTCGCCAGTTCTGGAAAGCTGGAAGCTATGATGACACACTTTCTACTAAGCCCAGCCTTCAAAGTATTTCTGCTTCAAAACTCTCTCTCCTACTTTCTTCTCTTTATCACTCCGTCTTGGTGAAATGGTGGAGATGGATATATTTAGGGTTGATTTGACATATTTTCAGCTCTAAGCAGACTGATTCTGAAGCTTAGACTTGTTTGTAGCTCTTTCTTTGTAATACCCTTGCTCTAATGCTCAAAGACATGCCTTCTAACATACAAATTACAAAACTAACACTTTTTTTGGGTGGTGAACAGAAGGTGCAAATTACCTGCATATACACCCCAAGTTCCTCCACTCCAATGCTACTTCACATAAATGGGCCTTTGGTGGTATGTGCATCTTTTGTTATTTAGTAGTCAATATGGTATAAGAAGTTTAGATTTTTCTCTGTACATCACCTTTTTCCCTAATTTCTGATATTACTTTTATCGTTGGCTCATGTCAACAGCAATAGCAGAGCTGCTTGACAATGCTATTGATGAGGTAAGTTTCCATGAATGGTTCCAAATTTTCATGCCCTTCTTGTTTCCTCTTTCATAGATATGTGCAAAAGTATCATGATAAGTGTTATTTCAGGTTTTTTTATGATGTTTTATGCTTCATACTGTTGTATGTCAATCATGAAGTGATGATAAGGATTTCTTGCTCTGCATAGCTTTCTATGACAGCAGTTATAGATGCTCTGTGTTGTTGACTTCATATTCCTTTTTAGATTGGAGTCTCTTCCATCCAGCTGTTGTGTAGTTTTTGAAAGGGTCTTCACTGCTTTTTGGGTAAAAAAAAAAACAACAAAAGTCTATGATGTTCTATTTTGCCAAAACTGCGGACCATAAATTTGGAAAGGTCTATATCCAGAATAACTGAATAAAAAGAAAAGAAAGCATAGTGTTGATGGAGGATGGAGAATGCTGTGCTCTAGGATTTCTGGATGTTTAGTTGTTTTACTGCCCTATGAAAATAGAATGCCAAAAAGGTGTGAGGATGAAGTTTTGTATTACAACTTGAGTTCATTAGAAACCAAGCCGTCGTAGTTATCTCATGCAACATGCTGATGCATTTACTTGTGTTTGTCCTTCCTGTCACATCTATTGGTTAGATCCAAAATGGCGCAACTGTGGTCATTGTAGATAAAATACTGAATCCAAGAGATGGAAGTTCAGCTCTGTGCATACAAGGTATTCCATATTTTCCATTAAGTACTTCACTGTTGTTCCTATATAAGTTGCGCCATTGATATAAAATTGGTTTCTATTTCAGATGATGGTGGAGGAATGGATCCCGAAGCTATGCGGCGTTGCCTGAGTTTTGGCTTTTCAGATAAGAAGTCAACTCAGCTATTGGCCAGTGTATGGATGTCCAGCTATCATCTAGCAATTTCTACGTTACACTTGTGATTTATAATTTTGCAATGGAGATGGCTTGATAATCATCTGGCAGTCTGTTCCTTTCAACTTATGTTTAATAACAAGTTGTTGACTTTCAGATGGAAATGGGTTTAAAACCAGCTCTATGAGACTTGGGGCAGATGTTATCGTGTTCAGCCGTTGTAAGAAAAACAGGTTCGTTGAGATGTGCATTCTTTACATTTTCAAACTACCCAAGTGGTGCTTGATAAATTTATATTGTCGACTTCTTGGTGTCCAAGATATGCAATACCTAATCTATTTATGATGTTGCTTAAATACATGCACAGCAACAAAATATGTTGAATTCTTCACATTGGACAACAGAAAGACAATATACAGGATTGATTACCTAGTTGTATCCATCAGCTGAGTTCCACCCCCCAAAAAAAAAAGAGATATGCATCAGAGTAACGGTGGAAGGGAAGATACATTTGAGGGGGTATAAGTTTGAGTAAATCAGTGGAATTTCTCCTCTTGTAATCTCTCCTTGTGTTTCTTTTCAAGGCTTATAGGCCAGAAAAAAGTAACTTTTGTGTCTCTGCTGGGTGAATAATAATTTGACTTTCAATTTTCGGTCCTTTTTCTCACTTATCTTTCATTTGACTTGATACAAGGGACTTGTAATGTCATTTGTCAATTATCCATTATCCAAAACTTTCTGTGGTACATGCTATTTGTTACCGGAAATTGCAAAAGTGACACCACTGGGTCTTCTTGAATATGACCTTCTCTTAAGTTGTGCAACTTTAATAATGCTATGAATGCTTATATAGGATTGTTTGCATTATTGATATACTTCATGTGTATTATCTGGAATTTGGTAATTATTTCAATCAAAATATCTGGAGTTTTGGTTATTATCTCAATCATATTGTGTAGATTAAACTATTTCTTGTATTTTTGTATAGTTCAGTCCTTCCATCTCATAATCTTGTTTTATCATGTCCAGGAAATTGACACAAAGCGTTGGGCTTCTATCTTATACATTCTTGACACAAACTGGCCATGACCGAATAGTGGTGCCAATGGTTCGCTTTACGATTCTGTCATCTGCTGCCAAATTTTGATCTACACACTTGAATTGTTTTTCTTTCCTTCGTCTTACCTATGGTAGATGTGAATGGCACCCGAAGTTTATTATTTGATATTGAAGTTCATAGTCTTGAATTTTCACATACCAGAAGTATATTTCCTTGCAATTTTTTTATAAATTTCCTTGCATTTCTTAAAACCCTAAAGCAATTGTTTTGCATTAACTCATGAATTACATTGACATCTTTTAAGCCTTGGCTCACCAAAATCTAGATATGAGATAAGCTCATACTGATTCCATAGTCCGTGAAATATTTTGTTTCAATGGTTCTGCCCTCCCATGTCCTATTTTGAACAAATGTAATAGATGCTTGCTTTTCTGTTATATGGAATTTATGGTGATTCTCCAGTCATCAATTACATAATTGTATATGTGCATATAATGTTTCTGGAGGCTCCTATCATAGGGACACATGTCTGCCGGGTGTTTTACTTGTTTGAGGAAACTAAGTATTAGAAATGTACGACTTCCTCCAGAGAATCTGTCAAGTTTGTGCATTTGATACTGGAAAGTTATTAGTTACTCCAATTGTTAATTTTTACATGAAGGAGGGAATAGAATATGGGGAGGAGAGACAAAGATATCAGGTTCGTGAATGTTTAAGTGATAAGAGTAAAACGTCTGGTAGCAATGTAGCTTTATTAATTTAGTGATAACTTGCAAATTGCCCTTGAGTACTATAACATGTGTATTTGCACTAATAGCACATTTGACGATGAGGCTATCACTTGGTGCTGATAACTTGTTAAATGCAGTTAGATTATGAGTTTAACACCCAAAGCAACATGTGGGACAAATTAAGCAATACACAATGTATCAATAATCTTCCATTGTTGCTGCGCTGGTCTCCATATTCGACAGAAGCAGAGCTTCTGAAGCAAGTGAGTGGAAAATTTAGGCAGTATGTTTTTTTGTCATTGTTCTTTCTCAGTAATTCCTGTTCAAGCTTCCCCTTTTGTCTTTCTAGTTGATGCCTTATTACTCTTCCTGGGATTGTGCTGTTCCATGCCAGGAAATTTTCTTTTAAACTTATAGTTGATATTCTAATTTTGAAAGAAAGGTGTTGATCATTTTTAAGTTTTTACCCTTTCATCTCCTCCATTTCCTTGGCCAGTTTGATGACGTTGGCCAACATGGCACAAAGGTCATAATCTTTAGCTTATGGTATACAGATGATGGCCAAATGGAGCTCGATTTTGAATCAGATCCTGAGGTACTGTGCACAATTCTAAACTGTCATTACTATATCAATTGCAGTCTTTCCAGTATCATGACTTCTTTTTAACTAACTCTGATCACAGGATATTCGTATTTCTGAAGTAGCAAATACAAACAAAAAAAGTGCAAGAATGATGGTAGCAAGTGAGCAGCATCTTGCTAACCGTCTTCGCTTTTCACTCCGTGTAAGTTTTAATGTTTACTGATGAGTAATTAATTTTTCTTACTCTCCCCCTGAACTAATAATTAGTAAGTTTTTTCTGACCTTTCCTAGCCCTCACTGTTCTAGCATCCTTATAATGCTAATGTGTCTTAGACATCAATGCTTGCTTTATTTTAATGCAACAGGCATACCTGTCCATCTTGTATTTGCGAGTCCCAGAAAACTTCTGCATGATGTTGCGTGGAAAATGTGTTCAATATCATAGTATTGCTAATGATTTGAAGTTTCCGGAATTCATCTTATACAAACCTCAAAGTGGTGGATGTAAAGAGGTACAAAATTATTTTTCAATCTCCTTTCTATTCCTGTGAAAATATGATGACCATATT